TCAGATACTTAACTGTCACCATGATTCCAACCGCAATTATAATCTTGGATTACTTGATAATGGTCTGTCACTGTACCAGAACTATAGGAAACTAAAAACTTAAAGTGTCCATAACTCAGAAACGAAGCATTTTAGAGCAGATGTGTATATAAACTTTTTTGATCGTCTTGATGAGTACAATATGGCTATGTATAGCCAGCCCACCTTTTTTGTTACACCCTGTATATTATTTGGTTGTATATGGTAGATTGAGGTAAATGTTACATATCACCTGCAGGAAATATAAAATTTGTATAAAAGAATGAAACAAAATTCTTTAAATCTTACCTCGAAGCCTGTTTTTCTACACAAAATGTATACCGCGCAAAGCGTCCACAAATATGGTTCCCCCCTGGTTGAATCCGCGGAATCTGTCTAAAATTCATTCCTGATATTTGTGTAGCACACTGCGGATAATGTGTACGGAGAATGGTAAATATTGACTGTTATTTCTGCTATTCATATGAAATCCGTGTTAAGCCGAATCTCCTCGTCATCACACCCCAACAGCGTCAATTTGATTTCAAATGTTGACTGCGGCAGACGTGAACCCTTGGCAAGGTATAAATTTAAGTTGACGTCCTTAGTCAAATTGGTTTCTTGATTGATGTTTGAGAGGGTTCAGTATTTAAAGTGAATGGAACATTTCCGTTTAAGTTGATATAAAATTAACGCTGTGTGTTTATATTTAGCGGTCGTAGAATAATGTTTTGATACGGGCCGAGACACCGGGCTCTGCATTATTTGTTTGAGGCTTAAATTCGCATGTGCATGAGTCACAAGATGATGGTAAAGGAACACGATCTGAGTTTACTGATAACTGCAGATTGCTGGTAATTTTATGGCTTATATACAGGGTGTATCCTACGTCTACCCTACTCCCTAAATTAGGGGAGTGATTATTTGTCTCATTTTAGGCCCAAAAGTCTTAATAAACCAGGGCCCCTAAATTTACTGGTTTCCAAGGTAGAGGCCATTAAGTTTTTAAAAAATATCACTTTTTTCAATTATTTAAGGTAGATTGACGAAACTTGGGGAAATGATTTAACTAAATAAAGGTAATAACTCGGTATATTTCTATACAGGGTGTCCCGAAATTCATGCAACAAAATTTGGTCACAGATTCTTAAGACAAATTTAGGGGACCCGTATTTTTTATTTCTACCAAGTGGCCCCTTCTTTCGGAGTTACAATACAGCCCCCTGAAGTCCGCCCCTTTTTGGTACACAGGGGTTTTATGACATGTGGAATCTGATGGTACTACGTTTTTTGGCGGGGAATCCCCTTAAGACAATTTTTCGTGGGCCCCCTTGTCTTTGGAGCCAAAAAAATTTGGTCGCATATTTAAATTTCTTAAAAATTATTAGTCCACTTGAAAGCCATTAAATTTAGAAACTTTTTGTCTCATTATATTATTTTCGTAAACGCAATGTTTTCGAGAAAAATGTCAAAATGTGATCGAATCCATATCATGATTCGCCATTTTCCTCAAAAACATTGCGTTTTACGAAACAAATATCAAGAGATAAAAAAGTTTCTAAATTCAAATTTGCGACCAAATTTTACTGGTTCCAAAGACAAGGGGGCCCACGAAAAAGTGTCTTAAGGGCGTTTCTCGCCAAAAAGCGTAGCACTGTGAGATTCCACATGTCATAAAACCCCTGTCTAACAAATTTAGTGATTCTCGTACAGCATGGTTTTGAGATATAAAAAAGACTTCTTAGGGGCAGATTTCTGGGGGCTGTAACTCCGAAAGAGGCAAAAAGAAAAAATATGGGTCCCCTAAATTTGTCTTAAGAATCTATGACCAAATTTTGTTACATGAATTTCCGGACACCCTGTATAGATCTGTTAATCACTGGTGGAGATTTACGGGGGCTTTAGTGTCATATTTTTAATAAGAAAGGGATCTTCACACACTAAACCAATTTCGAGTTATAATTTTTTTGTTCATATTTCATTTTAAAATAATTTCTAATAGGTATTTTATGGTTTAGAAAAAAAAATTAAATACAAGTAGAAAATTAAGCAGATTTAAGACAACGAATCGTACATGGATGTCAGCAAGTGAGACAAATGCCAGCACAGCAAAATGAGAATGTCCACCACCTTGATAAAGTGGTAAAGGCCCAAAAAAGGTTAAATCTAAAGGCTGCAGACGTATATGGTGGAAGCGACACCATAATCGTGATACGATTCGCCCTACAAAATTCGTATGCCATCAATGAGCTGTGACTTGGATGATTGTTACAGATTAAAACAATGGAATAGGGTCGCTGGGTCTGAATCCGATGTCGGTTGACCTCTACCACCTCATATTCAAGGTCGTTTGAAGGTTAAAGCTAGAATAGGTGAAAAAAATTAGAAAAAATTTTTACGAATGCTCACCTGCCTACTTTTATCTGTTTTTCTGTCTGCCTTTTTACCTGCACACCTGTTTGTTTGCTTGTTAGTCTATATTTATCGCCGTCCTGTGTTTTCTCTCTGTCCATCTACCTGATATCCTGCCTTTTTACCTGCGTTTCTGTCGGTAATTTTGTCTATCTTCCTGTTTGACTAAATCTGAAACTTCATTGTCTTCTGTCTGTCTGTCTGGGAGCATTTAGTGAAGAACAAGGAGAAATAATGCTCCCGAACATGAATGACTCCGAAGAAAGATATCAAGGTGTTTGTGGAAAGGATATGTTAGGTATGTAACGTAAGAATAACTCATTCAAGATATACCTATGAATTTTATTCCGTACTTCTGGCCATCCCTGTATAATAATAAAGCTATGCTCGATATCACTTATGCTTTTGTAAGATAGTCTTCGTTCCTTTGTATTTTCTTAGATATAATCCCATTAATCAGGCAGTCGGCGTGAAAGGAAATTTATCAAGTTGCGAAACTATTATAATTAGCCAGTAGCCTGAATACATTATAATACCCCTACGTCTGTTCTAATCCAAACCCAGTGTATTACATAATTACGGTCAGGTTTGTCAAGTTGGTTAATCTGGAAACTAATCGAGAAATCTAATTAAATAAAGTTTGTGTCAAGCACAAAATACCCCATTAGCTGATGGAATGCACACACTAAAGCACTTAATAAGTTATTAATGACAGTGCCGTTTATGGAGGGAATGTTTCAGGATGAACTAATGGAAAAAACTGAAATTGGGCAGGGCCTACCTGGCATCTGAAGGTTCGACGAAACAGTTATCAGAAAAGATATATGTTTTTTTATGATGCAGGAAAAAACTTTGTTCTCCGTCGAGGAGTTATATTTCACCTAACAGGTTTGACCTCCTAAGATAGCCAGCAACGTTGTTGGGTGAAGTTTTATAGAAATCCTCCGGCAAAGGCTGCAACTTACCGAATATAGAGAACATAGTATTTTCCCCTGAGGGACAGGTATAGAATATTGTTGAGTCATTTTCTCCTTTTCTAAATACTACCACCATTCTGTCTCTTCGATCAAACTCATCTTGTGTAAGTAGTATATTAACCAGCAAAGACGGTTGTTAGCTCTTTCCCCGATAGGTTTGTTATGAAAACCCTAGAATGAGCTAATCTTGTCAGTAATCAAGTGTTTTTCCCCTTCCCAAATCAGGAGAGGCTATGGCAGCAGTAGAAGCTATTTCAATATCCGATTCTGGCCCAATATGTTTCGAGGCAGCACCCACTCTAATTAGAAACTTTGCTGTATCTGGAGACCACAGTGGCCAGGTGTCCAGATCGAAGTTGCTCTCTTACGATTTTAATCGATTTGCAATGTTGCAATTGTTCCAGGCATATATTTCTGCTAATAGTTGTGTAGGTACCAAGGCTTGACAGCCTGGATTTCGGATTGTAATTATATATACTCATACCTTCTGGAGTTTTGGATCTGCCTGCATATCCAAAGCTATTTGTCTTCAGCAGGTTAGTTCTATTCCAATTCCAGTTGAGAGGCAGTTTGAAATTAATTTGTGTACCATGACATCCGTGATCACCGACAGATTGTTGTGGCTTTCCATATCTTTCAGCAATATCAAGTGTACCATTGTATCAGCCGCTTGCCTTAATCTGTGTATACACATCTAACTTTTCTGTTCAGTAATATACGAAGAAGTGGTAAGTGCAGGTGGATATCCAAAGCAGCTGGCGGTGTAGAGCTGATTGCACCAGTAATCACTAGGCTTAAATAAGAGACTTTAGCATTGATTGAACTTTGAAGACACCAAACTGTCGAATCGTATGCGATCATAGACTTTATGGCCATCAAATACATCCATATAGTTATTTCGAGGATTTCGACAAGAATGTCCACAGTGACATTCTTACTTTGTGTAGTACTTTCATCAGCCCTCAATTAGTCTATCTCATTTAATCTATTCTTATAGCTGGGAAAATTCGCCTAAAAACCAGCTATTTGATCTATTACTATTTTATTCACAACATTCTAAGAACTTATTTAAATATCTTGGATACCATGGGCTAAACCGATGCAGTTACTCGATACCAGATGCGCAACACATGCCTCCGACGATCTAAGTCAACTTGTTCAAAAACATTGATAAATTTCATGAGGCCTTCTCCGAAGGACTGCGATGGTCGAGCTTTACAAATTCCCCGTTGACAAGAGGCACCAGTTTCTCAACGACTTTATGGCGACTCTAAACCTACTTGAAAACCCTTAACATTTCAATAATTATTGTTGACTGAATTGACCCTTCCGTTTCGAGAACTAACAATAATCTATCACGAGTCCCGGCTTTTGTTACAACTTGTGGATTTTCTGAACCCCAAATGCGACAGTTTTGCGATTAACGAGGCCATCAAGATGAAAATCAACCTCATCGCTGAAGATGAATTTGCTCGAAAAATTAGCATCCCCTTGTTTGTTCCATAATCTGGTCAAAAAACTCTCCTTGCTCTACGTCGTCAGTAGGTTTCAGTTTTTCAGTCAATTGAACTTTGTAAGCATGAAGATGCAAACCTTTACGCTGTAGAGAGTTTCTGGAGTCCAATTCTTGAGGACGGTGCGGTATTGATGTTCCTGGACTCTCAGCAACACTCTCACGACTCTCATGAACTGCTTCGATGTGTTAATGTATTGAACGACTTGTTGAAGGACAGCCAGAGTCTTTACGATAACTAATTGATCCTGAATTTTTCAATTAATCTCTTCGCAGTTGAAACGAAGTAAAACACTATTCCAACTATGCTTTGTACGAAAATTGTCAACCGTAGCAGCTTAACCTTCATTAATTTTAAAATGTTCAACAACGTAAACGCGTTATTCTTTCGTGTACTGCTCCATTTTTAATAACCCTGCACTGTCAGCTACCACAATGTCTTTCTTTTTCGTTGGCAACGCTTTACGGCACAAATGGCGCTAAATTCAAATCTTGCGTGAATTTTGGGACACTCGATATAATTATGTTTCTTAATTTAATATACAAAAGCACACTAGTATATTACCTGCTGTACTACCTTCCTACAGTTTATTACGACACACTTTGTATGCATTATGACTCAACTTGCTTGCACCGCTCCGAAGCCGAATAACATATGATCAAGTTATCTCGCTGAATATTAAACGGGTTGCGACCGAAAATGTGAGAAAGCTGTAAATTACACTAACCCGGGTCGAATTTGATACTCAGAAAATCTAGGTTTCAGGGAAAATGTCAGAGCGCCCACATGGTTGTATCCTTCCTGAAATTCTGCCCTTCTAATTAGGGATCTTGCAACTTGAGTATGGGGGTTATAGTGAGAAGTATTTTACACCGCTAAGGTAAATGCTGTAAAAAATTTACGTATCAGTTTAATAAAAAAAAATTCTTCCACAAAGATCGTATTTGTTATCAAAACTAAAAAATTACGAGTAGGTCATATATGAAAATTTATTATCATAAATATTATATTAAGATTTATCAATACTTAATTATTTGTAATATTTTCGACAACAATAATAACAATAATACAGGTAGAATGTAATTGATTATTTATCAGGTCCTTACCTTAATTGATTTTTATTTACTTGGGAACTTTTATTTGTTTCTTTAAATATATTTTTTAATATTTTCCTTAACTTATAACTTTAAGTGATCTTGATTATTATTCTATAAATAAAATACTAATAATTGAAACAATAAGTCTCTTGCCTCAGGAGTGGTTCCAAATTAAAAAAAAAATAAAAATTTTTTTTTAATATATATATCAACAGTATATCAACAATATATTTCAATTATAATACATGTAGTGACTGACTATCTATTTTTATATCTTTGTTCTGGAAAATGGAATTATTTGTACATGACTACATGTAGTTCCTACATCAACAAAATTTGGTTCTTGAACTATATCGTGAACTATTTTTTTTTAATTTTATACAAATCGCCAAATTTTATTATTATTTTTTTTAACTAGTTAACTAGTTTGGTTATATTTTATGTCTACAGCTAGCAAAAGTCTTTAATAACTAAAATCGATACTCAATGTCATCAGTGATCATTTAACTTTTAATGTCATTATACTTTGATATACTCAACAAATACTTTTTCACTTACTGTTTGTCAGTCCAGTACTTTTAAAGCCTTGCATATATTGTATTCCACTTGCCCTTACTGTTTCTACACTAGGATTCACCGTCTACTTGAATTCAAGTAAAAACATCTGTGCTTTCTTCTACTAGATCATAACTGCTAAATGTTGACTACAATATACTTTAATTTCTAATTCTCCTCCAGCAATGTATGTTGTAATAACACATTGATTTTTTTCTGACTATATCTGTATATTTTCTTATAATTATCATCAAGTATAATTATCAACCTTATGTCAAAAAAACTATCTTGATATCTCTCGACCACCTTCTTCCTTTTTTAAAAAAAAAAAAAAATTGATACTACAAAACCCCGTTACCATACAAAAATTTTAATAATTTACAAAGTTCCTACATCTAATAACAATATTTTCTTTAATTTAATTTTCCAAATGATTATTATTAATAAGTAATTCTGAATATACTAGGGAAAAAGATGTTTGAAAGAATGTACTAAAAGAGTTTTGCGGCGATTTTGTTGTCCTTACCTTTGAGGGTTTCACTATGTCGGCTCACTCGCTTGCAGCAGGAACTAGCACCCTTGCATCAATTTTGTCTATCACTATCATATGTACCATATATACAATTAGTCCAAATTTGAGATCTCAGTTGCGTATTGTCTTGGTAAAAGCTTTTCACATACACACACTTTTTGAATGTTGAATGTCGACCTATCTGCCGACTCTTCTCCCCTCTCATCGAGTCTTTTTCCCCACCCTCGGTTCGAGGACAAGGACAACATGAAATTAAATCGCGGAACGCACGGTGATTTAAATAAAAAATAAATTAAGAGAGAAACGCAAACAAATTCTAATAATAATAATTAAATAATTTAATTCCATCTTTTAAATCACTATGACATTTCATTTTATACAATATAACTTTTTAGCTTTTTTGTCACTTATTGTTCAGTCATTGTTTAATTCAAATCTTAATACGGAAATAATCTAAGTTTATTCTAAATTTAATTTATCAAAATCACTTGAAGTCGTATGTATTTCATTATATTTTGTTTATCTATTTTGTATTTAAGGTAATTGTATACTAGGAATTATCAGGTTAAGAAAAGTTCATAGTATTGCTTCGGCCAAATAGAAATGTTTATAGTTATTATTTCAGAAACTTTATTTTTTAAACGTATGTACTCTACAGTGTGTAAGAAGTTTGACTGCTATTACTTCATGAGACAGAGTAATTGTAAATAAACAAAATAGTTGCATATTCCAGGGGCGTAAGATTAACAGTTTTCAAAATACAGCGAGTATTAATATTGGGAAGTTTCATCACAGCGTGACAACAGCTACACAGCTGGTGCATACCACGTATGCACGCGGCAGACTTGCCCTACGGCAAAAATGTAAACAACTATTATTGTGAAACATTTAGTAAATTTCAAGACAATTATTTTTCAGTTTTTAAATAAATAAAATAAAATGTATCGATTTTGTAGTACGAAGATAGTGTTGTGCTTAAATTTTAACTCGAATTTTAGTAATTATGAGTCTCTTAAAACAGGAACTTAAATTTTAATCAAATTATGAATTTGAAAAATATGTAATTAAAGTACCCAAATAATCATACGTATTCAAAATAAATTAGGTACTTACCAAAAAGCAACATTCAGTAATTTGTTCAAAATGTCCATCGCCATTGTCGACAGTTTAGTAGCTCGTGTTATCCGGCGCGCCGTTGTCACATTGCTCGATATGAATTTTATCGAATTTTAAATTTATTATAATGCTAATTAATTTTTAGAATTAAGCATAAAGAAATTTAAAAAAGTGATAAACATTGTATTTTATGGTATTCTATGCACGCAGTTATGTCAATATTCCTTAATTAATCGAACTTTTGTACATCAAGTTGAAGATTTTGATAATTTTTTTCTCGGAAATGATTGAATTTGGGACCCATTTCATATAAGGTTTTTTGGTTTATTGTAATGCATTCTATCGTCTATTAAAATTAAGGCAGTTAAACTTATAACACCCTGTATATTTTGTTATTATTATTATTATTATTATTATGTTAGCAATTTTCAATATTGTTGTAATATTTAAAAGCTTTGACTTAGTATCTCTAAAATCACAGTCACTATGTTCAATCATAGTTTTATATAAATTTTATTTTGTAAAGTTTCTAGTTTTATATTACTAAAACTTATCTATGTACTAATGATACTTGTACTTTGTGTTCCTGCAACATTTACCTATATAATTTGATTACACAATTGCGATTTTGTAAGAGAAAGCAAGGTGTAGGATTTATGATAAATTTATTTAAGTTCTGAATTAAAATGACAAAATTTATAATTAATTATACTTCAATATTAAACGGTATGCATTTATAGAAATGTTAAATTTAAATTAATTATATGCTTCTATCATCTATTTAACAAAATTATATCCGATTTCTTCAATTCTCTTTTTCTTTTCAATTATTTTCTTTTTCAAAAGTTTTTTCAGGATTTTATTTAGCTTACAATGTGGCGGCAAAATACCTCAGGAATATAAAGATAAAATATTTCTAACGATACCTATCTCTACAGGGTGTTAAAAAAAGAGTGTAAAATATTTAAGGAGGTAATAGTATGAACCAAAATAAGCAGAAAAGTCCCAATAAACATGGGTCCGCAAAGTAACGGTTGCGGAGATATGGAATGTTTTATGTTTTTAAGCCCCTTTTTTTATTTTGCAAAAACGTTGTGTATTTTCTTATAATAGTTGGTTGATGTTTAGTGAAATAAACAGTACGTATTTGACAGTTGTTCTCAGTGCACAAGTTTTCTTTCGCTATGGCTGGTTACTCTAACGCAGAATTAACAGACATGCATTTCATGTATGGTCGTGCTAATGGGAACGCCACCGAAGCGCGACGTCTTTATGTTGACGCTTATCCAAATCGCCAGATTCCTTCACAACGCATGTTTGGAAGAATTCACCAAAGATTGCGTGATACCGGTTCCTTGAGCAAACAGTGCCATTTATCCGGAAGACCAAGGTCGGTATCCACTCCTAGAGCAGAAGAAGAAATTCTAGCACTGGTAGAGCAGAATCCAGGTACGAGTGTGCGGAGAATATCAGCCGAGGTAGGAATTAGTGGTCCTCTTGTTTGGAGAATCCTTCACGAGCAACTGCTTTATCCATACCATGTGCAACGAGTACAGGCCTTAAATCCAATAAATGATCATCAAGCACGTTTGGTTTTTTGCCGCTGGTTTCTACGTCATGATGCTGAAGACCCTCGTTTTCTTGCAAACATTCTTTTTACTGATGAGGCCGGGTTCACAAGAAATGGAGTGTTTAATTTTCACAATACGCATATTTGGGCCGACGAAAATCCTCATGCTCTAATAGAATCTGGACATCAGGCACGTTTTTCATTAAACATTTGGATGGGTATTGTAGGTGACAGGTTTCTAGGTCCTGTTGTTTTACCAAACCGATTAACAGGCGCTGCTTACCTCAACTTTCTGCAGAACACACTGTATGAGTTTTTGGAAGACATTCCTTTGAATCAGAGGCAACAAATGTGGTTCCAGCATGATGGTGCTCCAGCTCATTTTTCCATGGCCGTTAGAGAGCATTTACACCAAACTTTTCCACATAGATGGGTAGGAAGGGCCGGACCTGTTTTATGGCCTCCAAGATCGCCTGATCTGAACCCTCTAGATTTCTTTGTTTGGGGATATTTGAAGACATTAGTGTATGGTACTCCTGTAAATAGCCTGGAAGAGCTGCAGCTACGGATTAATCAAAAGTGTCAAGAAATCCAAACCAAGGAGGGTGTTTTCGAAAGAGTTCGAATATCGTTGAGACGAAGATGTCGTGCCTGCTTGGAAATGGACGGAGGGCACTTTGAACATCTTCTGTAACTTTGTTTTTTGTTTGTTAAAAGCTTCCTTTGTCGGCTTATTCCTAATAAAATAAAATGTTTGAAAAACGAATAGTGGTCCATATCTCCGCATTCGTTACTTTGCGGACCTATGTTTATTAAGACTTTTCTGCTTATTTTGGTTCATACTATTACCTCCTGAAATATTTTACAGTCTTTTTTTAACACCCTGTATAAACACTCTTCGATATTTTAGAAAATTTTGACTGCATTTCTCATAGATTTACAAAGAAAAATGTATTAACTTTCATAAATGTTATATTATATACTTTTTCCTCTAAATAACAATTTTTCTAGGAACAAACATTCACGATTACTATCCTCAACATCATTGTTTAGTAAAATTTGAATATTAATATATTGTAGCTAGGGGACCAATAATATATATACAGCTGGAACTTAATCTGCTTTTAATTCATTAAAACAGGCCGGCAGCAACCACAGCCATTGTAAATGTGATATATAAAATATTTTGTGTATACGAACCCTTTGCTTTGCGTAAGATAATAGCCATATTGTTATCGTTATACTGCTCTTGTACAATTTAGAGAGTTGGTTGGACGTAAGGTTTTAAATATTCCATTTAATACTGAAAATCCAAATGTCTTTTACATCCTGCAAATTATGAATTACAGTTCCCTAAAACCGTTAATTGACAATAATTTATTACAATTTCTAATAATACAAAAGGAACATCTTTCTAATTGAATTGTCCACAATTATCCACAGTTAGTTATTAAGGATATACCCGACAAAATAAATTAATTAAGATGTATGAATTCGCAGTCAAGGTATTGAAATTAATTAACGTATTTTCAAAATGACCAACCAGTTTCCGTCTAAAAGCAGATACAATATTTTTTAACGTTAATTCTATTTGGTTTGCAGAATAATCTGATCTAGTACCAATAGACCTTTTTTGTAGTCATTTAAGTCAAAATTTTGAAATAAATGTTAAAGATCATAAATAAAAAATCAAAATACGGTACAACTTCGTACACATTTCTCTTGAAAGTGGTTATCGAAGTTTGAAAGTAGCTTTATAGTCAGTGATTTGAGAAACATTCGAATTTATGATCTCATTGCACCATCCGGGAGGTGCGAGAGTGTAGAACCATCAAACTCTGTGGGAACATGGATCACATATATCTGGGGTCCAAAATTATGTGATTGGCTTCCCTAACCCTAGAACCTCGTAACAACTTCTTAACCCAGCATGTGTGAAGATGTATAACTACGAAGCTCTCTGGGAACATTGCTGTCTTATGTCAGGGATTCGAAACTACATCACTGAGAGTTGGCAGGCTTCCCCATAATCCTGAGTGTACGAAAATGTATAACCAGGAACGAGGAACTGAGTCAGTAATCTTGTTTTTGTTGTAATCACTTAACCAGGAGGCAGAACTTCAGCAGGGTGTAAGCTCCTGTAGACCCATGATCTGGGACATACAGACTTAGGTTACAAGAGATTTTTCTCTTTGTATCTATATTGAAAAAACGTAATAGTACTTCCTAGCCGACACTTTTCTCAGCTCCTTGCGTTCCAGGATATGCAGATAAGTTTCATCCGCAGAGTCACATCCCCGGCAGACCGAACTATCTACAACCTTCAGCCTATGTAGATGTTTCCTAAAGTGACAGTGTTCCGATATAAGTCTTGTCGTTTTTCTGAACCGAATTTTATTCAAGCTCAACAACTCAATCATTCCTTTCTGCAAAGGGTATTCCATAAGTTCCTTCGCATGGCTTTGCCCTAGCCTTGAAGCCCAATATTTCGTATGTCCTGATTCAGTCCATTTGCCCAAAACCCCCGTGACCATACTCTGAGATGTACCACAGAAGGGCGCCAGACCAATGAACTCTGTTTCTGATCCCTTCCTAGCAAGTTCATTCGCTTTCTCATTTCAAGTTTTCAACTTACCTTGTGTGTGTCTAAAGAAAGCCTTAATTGCTGCTTGACTGTCAGAGAATGTATGAGTATATGTTTATAACCTCTACATTCTCTACATTCTCAGCTAAACACGCCATTATTGCGAAGATTTCTGCTTGAAATACAGTGGGAGAGCTCTCCAAACTGTAGCTTACACTCCATTTGGATATGAGTCCACGCATTTTTTCACCGTTCCCCTGGATCCGTCCGTAAACCATACCAGGCTCCATTTTTCCAAGGTATCGATCATGTCGTTTACCGTCCCCAGAGTTGGTTCCGACATAGATGTTTCCATAATCCTGGAATAGGGACTGTCTCTCCAGTTATTGTTCCTGAGCCAGTATGCTGCTAACCACGCTTCTCATTCCACCACCACATGAAGTGGTGGTAGATGACTTCTAGTGCAGCTGTCGGGGTCGATACATCGTGCTCATTATACCCAAACGGGCCAAGTTCTGGATTTTTCTTCAGTTTTTCCGTCAATAAGGTCTGTCGTGTTTTTTGTCACCATACTACTGCGCCATAAATTATCCTAGGTCTTACTATCGATGTATACAACCTGTATGCCATCCTTGGTTTCATTTCCCAGGTTTTACCGATAAGGCACACACAATAAGGCTTCGACTTCTTCCAAATGGGCATTCCTGGTAAGCTCATCACTCCTAGATATTTCTCTTTTGATTAATTTTTAAGATATAGTAAGTATTGTTTAAATGGATTCACATTTTGTCTTTTTGTCCTAAAATTGCCGTTCTTATTATATATCAACATATGTAAAACCTTGGTCTGTTTTTGGAATTTTCATCTAAAGGTGTTCTTTCCTTTCATAAATACTCATGCCATATATTATCATAACCCGATAATTATTAATTCATCCCGAATCCTTATATCCTTCTCTTCTTATACAGTTTGATAAATTTTTGTCGAGTTTACAGTATATTTTCAAAAATAATTAGTTGAGTTGACTTGTCTATGGGTCTGTTTCTTCTGCAAACCCACATAATTGATGTTAGAGATAAGTAAAGATTATTAAGATAATTAAAAAAAATCGTTAAATTCAACCTTTATCACCACTGACCCTTGAAAGAAACGTAAAATTACAACAGGATTTGGAGATTTTCCAAAGAATATGTATAGGCGTTAATTTGCAAGACCTAAATGTTTTGATAACTGTGGAAATTAGATACACAATTGTAACTTTGTGTCTGATATGTATACACACATACACATGCATACCTATCTAACATTATCCGCATTATTCACCTGATTAAATGACACCTTCATATTAAAACCGCTGGGCGAGAGCCACTCGAACAGGAATATTGTGAATGTAGCCGCCTGGATTGCAACAACCCCTACCAACATCCACGATGCGGTATCGAACGGCTCCAAGAATGCAGTGGGAGAGATAATGCCCGTACGTTTCGCCACAACTATTGCAATCCCGGTTTCCATAAATGGTACGCTGAAATCCACCTGTAACAAAATACATATTAATTGGCAATATATAGTAACTTACTCGATGGATCGTTGGAGTAAGGAGCAATTGAGTCTCCACTAATACAGAAAAATATTGAGTCACATAAAGTGAAGGAGATATTTTGATTGGTCAACGGTATAAGTGATTGCAGTATTTGGATGCGCTAAACACCACGCCATTATTAAAATTTACCTATAACCTCAATATTTCTCAGAAAATCCACTATTTGGATGAAAACTGGGCTAAATATGGATCAAAATTGATTTTTTCGTAGTATTTTGGCCAGTTTTCACCCAAATAGTGAATTTACTGAGCAGTATCGAGGTCATTGGTAAATTTTAATAATGGCATTGTGTTCAGCGCTCAAAATACTACGAAAATAATATGATTGGACAAAATTTAGAAAAAAAAATCAGTTTTGATCCATATTTGGGCCAGTTTTCATCAAAATAGTGGCTTTTTTGAGAAATATAAAGGTCAGGGGTAAATTTTACCAAGTGGATCGTGTTCAGAGCCTCAAAAACCTACAAAAATGATAAATTTGGACAGAATTTAGGAAAAAATTTGGACAAAATTTAGGAAAAAAAACAGTTTTGACCCATGTTCGGATCAGTGTTCATCCAAATAGTGGATTTTCTGAAAAATATGGAGATCATGGGTAATTTTTACTACTGGTATCATGTTCAGCGCTTTGAAATAATACGAAAATGTTATATTTGGACAAAATTTAGGAAAAAATCAGTTTTGACTCATATTTAGGCCAGTTTTCACCTAAATACTGAGTTTTCTGAGAAATATCGAGGTCATGGGTAAATTTTACTAATGGCATCGTGTTCAGCGCCTCAAAATGGTACCTATAATAGGACAAAATTTAGGAAAAGCAGAATGAACTTCTGGTTGAGATTTACCTACTTATCTTATTTTATCTGTAAGATATTAAATAGGTACATTACCTGAAGGGTATTCCCCATTTAAGTCAGGATGAAATAAGGAGCAAAGGCTTTTACTTTTTCAATACTCTTTTTTTTCTCATGAAAGAGTCATCTCCTAAAAGACAAGTTACTGAAAATCTATTATCCTCAATATTTCCTAAACCGTTTACGAGAAAATGAAAAATGTTTTTAACATATAAATACACGTAATCGTAATTTTTTTTTTATTTTTGAAATTAAAATGTATAGTTTTTGCACCACATTCTCAGAGCGATATAAATGGAAAACAGCAAACAAGTTTTTCTTAAAATGTGACCTCATTCTAGGCAATTATCGTGCTCTTGACTGTTATTTGGAAAATAGCATTAACAAAAAAAGTTTCAGAAACAAAGTATTCCTAACTGCGGAAATTTAAATGAATACCGCCAGGCAATTAGCGTTCAGAGTTTTTATTTTGTTGGAGTTTCGTTGCCAATACACTCGTTCATCACTACGTTGGCATTGCAAAACCAACACAAAATACACGACTGATTTTTAAATTTCCCGATTATGATGGATCTATTTTTAATAACTAGCGTTCTGTTAATTTATTACCAATTGCACCATTAATGCTATAGTTCCTCTACAGTATATTTTACTTAAATTTATCTAAATTATTTATCATATTTTTGATCGGAAATCAAGCAAAATATCTCAATTTAATTTCACAGAACCGTCTACTTTGGTGTTTCTATATATCCGCAGATAACAATTTTCATTTTCTCTACAAAAGAGTTTTATTTTGTTATAGGTAATAGGATAATACCCTCCTGCTTGGCTCTATCTCAAATCTTGGAATTCTAAACCGGAAAACAATTATTTCACCGCTTTTAATGCTACGTCAACAATTATCTCGACAAGGGGAATTTGTAGAGATTAAAAAAGCTTCAGCTACACGTATTTAGTAGTGTGACGAATGTAACTAATTTACTAATTCACGTCATATGCCCATTGAACTAAATACATATTTGTAATCAGAAAATAGATAAGTCAAATAAAAGAGTTTGTTTTAAACCCTTATTGTCATTACTATTAACATATACCATATCAACATAACCAAGAAAAATCAAATATTGGCCCAGATGAGGTCTTGCGCGTGCAAAAACAAAAACCCAGACCCTAAAATGTCTGTCCAATACAATACAGGGTGTCCCACCACGAACTTCATCGATGGATATCTGGCAAACCGCTCGAAGGATTTTTTTAAAATTGTGATGGTGTAAAACGGACCGTGCTCTACCAAGCAAAAATATTTTCAAGGTCATCATACTTCCGGTTATACCGAAAGTCGATACTAACTTTCTTATTTTAAATGGAACCCCCTGTATATTATTGAATTTTTGGAAAGAGCATCTATTTTTAAGTTGAAAACATATAGCAAAAATTGACAGATGCAGACTGTCAGCAGTTTTTCCGAAAACAGGTTTATTTTTTTGTGAAAATTGGACATTTTGTAGAGGTAGACCTAATTTATCGAATTTGACATACAATTTTCCAGTTTTTATACAGGGCGGTCAAAAAAATTATCGAATATGAATTTCAGAAAAAATGGAAAACTCGAAATTTTTAAATGGAAACCCCTAATTTTTGTAACGTATTCGCATTCTGCACTAAAATTAAGTGTAACTTTGTTAAAGTTTCCCTATACCTAAACCCAGTGGATTTCATTTTATTTATGAATAAACATTTCCTTTTTCTTAAAATGATATAAGTAACAATCAACATGACAACTGTCACAGGTTTCAATTCCTGGATTAGCTGAATTTATTTTCATGTTTATTGTTTATTGGTCCCTTCACCTGGATATAACGAGCCTCTGTCGGAATACCACATTCCGGTTACGTTACTGTTAATTATGTTTATGCGGTTACGTTAACACTGTCTGAAGTTGACAAGCTTGGCACGTTAATTACCCATTACTCGTCTCAACATTACGAACCAGACCAAATGGGTAATATAAAAATAATATTTAACCACATCCAGTAAAATTTTTCTTACACGCAAAATAAAAAGCAAAAGGAGGAAGACATACACCGTACGTTTAGAATAGTCCGTTTTTTTTTTCAACTTTTGAACTGGAGAATTTAAAACAAAAATTTTTATGTAAAATAAACTTTTTGATGGCAAATTTTAATTTTAAATATGGCAAATGAGGCTATGTCGTTATTTTATGACAGTTTAAATCCAAACATGCTACACTTATTTTATGAACTCAAAATATAACCGCCATTCCCGGTTTCGTTCCCAGTACTGTTTTAAAAGAATAGTACCGATTAAATAACCCAGTATTGTTTAAAAAAATAAAATAAATTTTCTAGTCTTTCACATCTTTTGCAAGAAACTCTTTTCCTAATATCGACAAAAAAAGTCGCATGGATTATTATTTTTCGATGGCAAACCCTGAATATCCACAAGAATATTATATTATTATATTAGGATTAAAAGTGTTACTTTTATGGCGAGATGAAAAAGACACTTTTAATCCGAGAAAAACATGCTATTTTTTCTGCAACCGAAATCCCCATTTAATTATTAATTTGTGGTTTGAAATTATTCAAACCAAATTTGGATAATAAAGCAAAGTAGGTAAGTAGGATATATCAATGTGGTCATCGTTATAGTCAAACATTATAGTCCAGGCGGTATCTGTTTCGGGTTGGGTAAAACGTATATGATCGGAGATTTTTGCTTTAACGGTTTCTAAACAACATTAGAAATCATAATTTTTCTATGCAAATAAAAAAAAATGTGGGCTTAATTGTTATTGCAAAAAAGTATAAAAAAATAGAAACAAATTTTTTTCTTGGATTTCTCGTCGACAACTTAGCAACTATCCATTTTAGACAAAAATGAAACAGGAAACAAAGTTTTGTAATTAAATTTTGATCAAGATAGAGTTAGTTGCAATTCGAAAAATAATTATTGTTATTGCAAAAATCGGAAAAATCATTTAAAAAATTGCAAAGATGCTAGTTTATTTGTCAATTTTTTTCAGACACTTGAATAATACCTAGGATCTTCATACTTTTCCCAATTAAACTTCTTAGTGCATAGAATCATCACACCAAATTTCATCCAATTCGGTTAGATAATTTTTACATAATAATTGTTTAAATTTTTTATTTTTTTTAAATTAAAAAATTTTCAAAATCAAATTTCTAAAAATCTAAAGCCTTTGAATACTTGAAAATTTCACCACAAAAAGAAGAGCTCTCAAGCTTTAAAATGGTTTTTGAAAAATTCAAATCGGACGATTAGGTGAGCCGTGGTGATTGTTTAAACATTTTCGCAATTTTCACGCTTATAAACAATTGCAATAATTTAATGTTTTTTTAAATTTTTTTTTATTTTAAAATATGGTTTGAAAGTACTCGGAAAGACGAGTATTTAAAAAAAAACCTGATGATCCGCCCATTATTTTCGGAGTTATAGCCCGTTAAAGTTAACCCTTATTTACAGCAAAACTATAAGGGTATAAGGGCTGTTTTTTGAACTAATAGGTTTGTCATTCCGAGTACTTTCCAGATATAAATTTTCAAAATTTGCAATCACGGGCGTCCCATTTAAAATGTCACTCAAAGATATTCAAGACCGCGTGAAATCAATGAGGTATCAGTGGTGGGGGGAGCAAACACACAGCTACTCCGATCTGAATTCTCGAGTTCAAAACTGCGACGCTCGGAAAAATTTCACTTATCTCAGCTTCTAATGGACCAATTTCGATGATTTTTTTTTAAATCGATGTCTCGCAACTTAAAAAATTCAATTATCATATTTTCAACTACCTTTTATTATTAATTATTGGACTTTTGACATGCCGATAAACAGTTACTTTAAAAAATGATTAATTTATTATGTTTATTTATTTACTATGTTAATATTCACGACCAAAATTTTTGCATGTTGCACCAGGTAATACTAGTAAGTTTGTTTAAATATTATAAAATTGTTTAAACAATAATTATTTAAATAAACAACTGAAAATTGGTATTAATTTTTAGTTGTACGATAAATTTCTAAAAATC